GGTCAGTCGTGATACGAGTTACGTTGAGCTCAAGGGCGGATTCAGTTGGGGGTGGGGGTCCATACCCTTAAAAATACGTGTATATCTCATTAGACAGACTTAACGCACGTACATAAAACCTTTTTCGTTGGTGGGTGGGGTAGGGGTGCACTCCCATGGAGAATTTCTCTTTTGCTGCAATGAAAATGGGAATTTGCCAACTGTTTTCTAGAAGAGGTACAAGGCCTTTTTAACGTTAGTTTAGAAAGGGGGGGGGGTCTCGATACCCTGATTATTATCTTTTGATAATTCAGGTTTAATTTAACTGGACGACCAGGCATATGATATTTGTTTATCCTTCGTCATTTCCTGCATTTAAATTGTTTTGGGTATCGGGCAACAGTCCTTGTCGCTGCTATTAACTTGAAAGATTCTTCAATGTTGTGTTTTCTGATTTTGAATTCTTCTCAAGAACCACTCGGCCAATTTCAACTAAACTTGCCACAAGGTATTCTAGGGTAAAGAGAATTGAAGTTTCATTTTTTCAAATGAAGAGCCACGCCCTCTTCCAAGGGGAGATAATTAAGAATTAGTGAAATTTTAATGTAATCTTTAAAAAAAATTATTAAGAACCACTGGGCCAGAAAAGATGAAACTTATGTGAAAGCATCCTCAGGAAGTGTAGATTTAATTCTATTCAAATCATGAGGGGGTAGGATGGGGTCACATTAGGGGATTACAATTTTTACATATGAATATATAGGGAAAAAACTTTAAAAATCATCACAGGAACCAATGGGCCAGAACTCGAAGAGTTGAAACTTTGAAAGATTCCTTACATAGCGTAAATCAGGTTTGTTCAAATCATGTGGGTGGGGCCATAATAGGCAATCAAAAATCTTTAAGAATCTTCTTCCAAGGAACCAATGGGCCAGATGAGTATGTGAAACCTATGTGAAAGTTTCATTTCATATCGTAGTTTTGAATTTGTTCAAATCGTGACCTCCCGGGTAGGGTGGGACCACAATGGGCGATAAAAGTTTAACATAAGAATATATAAGAAAAAGACCTTCTCAAGAACTGCAAAGGCAGGAGTAGTCATATTTAGTATCTGAAAACATCCTCAGGTAGTGTAGATTCAAGTTTATTCAAATTCTAATCCCTCGGGGTAGGGTGCGGCCATATTAGGGGATTAAAATTTATTATATATAATAATATATAAGAAAAATACTTTTTTTCAAGAATGACAAAGGCATGATTAAATATAGTTGGATAGAAGCAACCTCATTTAAAAAAAAAAAAATAAATCATAATTCCCAGGTGGAAGGGGGGGGGGTAGGGTAGTCTAGAGCTACAATAGACGTTCAAAGTTCTACATGGGAGAAATCTACTGATGAAGAACAGTAGAGCCGTAGCTACTCAGGTGAACATTGTGACCCATGCGCCTCTTGTTTTTCTTTTGGGGCAGATTGGAAGTCGAAAAACATTTTTCTATAAACCCAAAACCAGGCCCCAGGACCATGTATAAACTGAAAAGCTATTTAAGGCAAAATTTAGATTTTGTATATCTTGATTCTTATACAACAAATCTAAAAGTTGGAGGTCTGTATAATATTCAAGTGTAAATACAAATTTCAAGTTGCTTTGTTTCCTTGAGCCCCCTGACTCATCAGAAATAACAAATGAATATGTTATGAGGTAAAAAAAAACAATTATATACCAGCATACTGAGAGAGTGAATGTAAAAATACATGAAAGAAAATAGTGTCTTATATCAGTTTGACAGCTTTCATAAACCCAAATTTAAAAGATTTTTAATTTGATAAGTGTTTAGGAATTAAATTCATTTTAAAAAGACTCGGCTTAATATATTAGAAATTTCATTATACAAAGGGTATTTCAAAATAAAATAAAATTTAATTGTGTTCTGTATCATGAAGGTTACATTATATACATATACTCTATTAATCTTGGTGTCTACATATATCTGTTTCAATATTCAAATTTGATTTGAAAACCTAAATTTTGTTAATAATCTTTTATATCCTTTGTCAATAGGTTTTATTAAGCAAAAATTGTCAATTACCCTTACCGACAAGTGTAATCTGCTTCCCCTTCAAAATTAAAAAAAGGCCGTAATTCCATAAAGAAAAATCATTGAAGCAAAATGAAATGCAAACTCATTAAGGTAGACTCACATACCAAAAAATCAACACAGTATCCGCAAAAAGCGTTCAGAAAAAACTACGGGAAATCATGTTAGAAATCTGGTTCCCCTTAAACATTTAAAATGGTTGCAATTGGAAACATCTGAGGGTCTTTGCTTTGATAATGATCTATCATCTATATGTACTTGGTTTTCCGTCTAAATCTGACATAGTTCTAAGAAAGCCAACTCAATTTATAAAATTCATTTGTCATTTAGTAACACGATATTTTACAACAATATTTACAATTTGCTGTTGCTCTTTCTATATATTCTATGTTCCATTGTAACAGGTACTGGAAAACGCAAATTTGGACATGGGCGGTTAATTAATTAATTTTTTTTTGCTTGTCAGATTATTTTGGGAAGTTGGCCCACTCACTTTTTGTTTGGTCGATTAAGGTTTTTTTTTTTGGCTTGACAGATTTTTTTGGAAGTTGCCTCCCCCCCCCCCCTAAACACACCCTTGAAACATGCCTAAAGAAATATTTTTTGCCATATTTTTAATTTTTTTCTCGACAGAATCGAACAATAGAACCTTTATGTCTGTAGGAACTGCACCGTCAAAATTGACGTCAAATATTTTTTTACTCTCGAGTTTTGATAGCGCATACTCTTTTCATATTGAGATCCACTGTACAGTAATAATCGAATAAACTATTTACTAGCTCTACTATATCTCTACCTGTAAGTCTTCCATATCATTTACATGTGTACTGTATCGCGTACGAAGTTATCAACGGTCGATCATCTTGATAGTTTCTTTTGATAGCTCGTTACGACACTATCCCGTTTAGTCGTTTAGATATGTCTTTTAAGGACACCTGTCTCTTAATAACTAACAGTCCGAACGACTTTTAAAATTATGGCATCATTTCATCGTTGAACATACATGTAATACATACTAGTAAATGGGATTATATTTAGCGCCATAAAAAATATGCCTATCAATTTGACCTTTTAACTTTTACAGAATTGCATTTTATTTACTGTGCCACAAAGAGTCATAACTGAGAATTACTTAAATGATATTTTATTTAGATTTTATTTCAAACATTTTATATATATTGTACATATTGATGATTACAATTGTCCTTAAGAATTCATTGATGGAATATTGAAAAGGTGTTTTTACGCAATCTACATATATCGCGATCGTCTACAAATTTAACAGCCCTAGTAAATCAGAATAAAATATTGTTAAAAAGTTTGTGGGAGAGTGGAAGCCATATACATTCGGCATTTAATGAACAATTCATTAACAATACAGTATTCTCTACAACTTTTTCTAATTGCTGCACGTATTTTTTCGAAACTGATCCCAGAGTGTAACTCATCGTACACAACATCCTTCATAAAACATTCACCTTTCATGCTTTTGTCAGAGTAAGAAGAAAGATTTGTTTTAAATTTCTAAAGTTTATCACGGTTTGTTTTCTTTATGGTTTGAGTAGTTTAAAGAATTGTTATGAATTCTGCCCCCCCCCCCCCCGAAATATCAGCATATCGCCCTCACTACGTTTGTACTGATCATTCAAGTTATTTTGTCAACTTACTAATACTGAATACTGAAAAAAAAGTTTTTTTTCAATCAATATGTAATCAATCAAACTAAAACCTCTTACTGTAAAAAGTAAAATTACCCAGAAATCTGACAATGTAAGCAGAGTCCACTTTAAAGTATATGATTGGATTGCACCAGATGTGCAAGAAGGCTTAGGAACTATGGTTTACATCATTTGGATCAACTAGGTGCCAACAATTTATAATGTCCAAAAAAAATGACCCTCTTTTTAAAATGTAACTTGTGTTTCATTAAATCTGGGACTGGTGATGAATTTACGACAATTGTACAATTGAAATGCACTTATTACATGTACTATCTTATATCTAAAATATTCTTCGTAGCAAGTTTTAGAAGAGTGCGGCAGCCAGGAAAATAATTGACAACTAACATGAAAATATTTGAAAAGCAAAATTATCCAAACTCGTCATGAGGGGGGGGGGGGGGGGCATGAGCATAATTGACAAAACTTCAACAAAGGAAGAGCGGGGATGGGGGAGGGTGGGGGGGGGGGAGATGGGAGGTGGGGGGGGATTGGGTTGGCTTCTGGCCTTTCAATGAACATTTTCATACCGAAGTAATAGTAAAAAGTTTATTATGTTTAGAAAAAAGTGGTACTCCTGGCCCTCTTGATACCATGTGCCTGCAGAAAATGTTAAATAAATCAAAGTTTTCCCGAGCTCTTTCAGCACAATGCTTTATATCAATGTACTAGTATTGAAGCTGCGCTTCAGGAAAAAAAGAGTACATTTCGAATTCGATAGAGAGCACAGTAAAATATAGATTTCAACCGAAATAAGAAAGAAAATATTAATGACGTTATATATATCAGCCTTTATATAAATCAAGTGTTCACATTTCTCTTTATGATTTTTTTCACTTAATTTATTCATTTAATCATTATTCTGAAATCTTTATTTACATGTAATAAAGAAATTCATATTTACAAAAAATAAATAAATAAATAAATAAATAAATAAAAATGTTTTAGAAAATATCAATGTATAAAATAAGAGTTTCGCAGAAACGCGTAGCATTTCTAGTTTTATGTAATTATACATGTACATTTTTATTCCACCACAATATTTGGAAGTGCAATTTTTATTTTTAGAAGAGAAATGAAAGAATATTCATATTACATGTATAATAACGAATCACTCAGCAATACCTTTAAAGATTTACATGTAATTGTTGTAAATAATAACATATTCCAAATAGTGTATTAACTTTCCATTATTTGATTTTCAGAAAATGTCTAGCAGAGGAAGCACATCTCCTCCCTACACCATGTCCTCCATGATCATCTACGCCATCTGGTCCTCCCCCGAGAAGGCCTTGACCTTGCCAGAGATCTGCTGCACCCTGGAGTCCATGTTCCACTTGTATGACGGCAACGACAGAGTTTGGTACGACAAAGTCCGCAACGCCCTCTCCAAGTACTCCCACTTCATAAAGATGGACCACTCCAGAAGCGCCAGGGGAAAGCTTTGGACTGTCGATCTCGCTTTGGTTCCTCTTACTTCATTCCGGAAGCAGACAACACGGAAGGATTCCTTCAGCGACTGGCCGAATCTCCTTCATCAGTATCTGGGTGTTCCGGAGATCGAGCTTCGTGGAGTCGTGTCTACCAGTGCCACCTCAGCCAGTGTTCAGCCTTCCCGTGTCGTAACTTCCGGACTTAGTTTTGGCATCGACCGCATTCTCAACATGTCTCCTAGATCCACCAAACATTCACCTAGTCCCATTGTGTCAGTTCCATGCGAAGATTTCAACACCAGCTGCGACTCTTTCTGTAGTGTATTCGATTCCACATTTGAGGACAGTGATATTCTTTCACGTGATTCAGTTCATGAACTTTCCTACTCATCCATAGAACGGTGCCGAGGATATTCCGATGTGTCATCATCTCAAGACGTACAAGACTTTGGCCACTCAACACGGATCCACTCCGACACAAGCATCGTCTCTCTGGAAGTTCCCTGCTCACCTATTGAACCTGAACTCTCCCAAGACGACATCTTCGCAGGCGTTGACGAACTGCAGTCCATGTTGGAACCAGATGACGTCATAGATTTTGCGCCATCCGGGGACTTTGGAGTTGTCTCACCAGCTGAGAGTCACAGTCTGTCAGCTTTAGAGTCGATTATGGACTTTGTTATTCCCACTCAGTGCTCCGGGGATCTCTTCTCGGAATTTGAGCCTTACCTACGTGATTTCAGCGACTAAGTGACTTGTTGTGTATGTGGATTTGACAACAACCTTATTTTGATTGTTAGATATTTCAAAGAGAGAACGAGACTTGTTAATTTGTTATGTTATTTGTTATGCAAATGTATTTTTGTAAATATTTATTACATATAAATTACATTACACAAAAATCTTGCACCTGTTGTTCACTTACTCGGAGTATTTTTAAAATGCTTATTGCAACAAAACAAAAGGGAAAAATGTCAAACACAAAGCTAACTCGAGACACATTGCTTCTAAACTGATGCAGTTCAATTTTCTTTAAATTACACGTCGTATCAGACTTATAGTCTTATTATAAATCACTATTTCATAATCATTCATACATGTACACTGTACTCACAACGTATGGTATTGCTCTTATTAGAAAAGCATTTCAAGAGTTTTTTACTTCAAATTTATAATGCTCTATTATTGTGGACATACTACCCATTTTGAAATTTGCTTTAAGAAAAAATCTACAAAACATGGTGATGCTTCCATATGAGACTAAAGGACTACTATACTACATTTTTTTCTGAATTATGTGTAACTTTCTCTCCCTCTTGACCTTACTGTGTCTACACACACACTCAGGAGTCATGCATATGATCGATTTGAACCATTTTAATTTACGTTACAAAAGAATTTTTCCTCAGAAATCTCATTCAGTTTTTATTGTAACTGAAAACATCGTCCTATATAAAACTATAAATCTTTATTTTATACACCTCTCATCCTCTCGAGACGCAGAGGTTATGCATATTGCATGAACAAAAATCATTTAAATGTTTTTTCCCCAATAGTAGTCGTGTAATTTGGATCCCTTCTCCCTACACTAACTCATGGAGCCATGATTAGAACAATTTGAATGTAAAGCCAATGTGCACCATCATAACATTTAGAGATTTGACTAAAAATTGTGTCTCTGTTTTATCATTTGTTTAAAAAAAGAATATCCTTCACTTCCCACTGATGCCAAACTACAACCCCCTCCCATGCCCCTGTCCTCAAAATAGACCAAAATCCAAAAATCGAAAAAAAAAATGAATTCATGTACAGTGTATACACATGCAATAACGGAGAACTTTCTCCCCTACCATTGTCTTCAGTTTTTGGGAATATCATAAGACCTAACGATATTTTATTTTAAACTATTAAAATTAATGGACCTTGACACTAAACTTCAAACTCTACCAGAGGGCGCACTACTTTTAAGCTTCGCCCCTGCTCCCGCCTCAAATGTAGTCCTTATCCTCATATTGCAATATATATAAGCAAGTGCAGAATAGTTGCGCAATAAACAGTGATATACTCGTGAATACTGATATTTATTGGAATAGGAAATGTATAAGTTTTTGATATTGGAATACTACTGGCTACCGACTATTTATCAAATAACAATTCACATTCTTGGGTATGCTAAAAAGGTCATTAAATATTTTAATTTAAAAAGTTTTTTTTTTCCTGCAAAAACATGTAGAACTGAAGTATGACAATTCTGTGAGGATCATTCCAGAAAAAAAGCGGAATTTTTCAATATTTTTCCGTTTCACTAACATTGTAAAGTTAAAAATTGGCATCAACATTTTTTAAATACTGCTTGTGTAATTATACAAATTTTAACAAAATGTCTCTATAAATAACATTCTTTTCGAACGAAACGAATCCTCCCCCCCCCCCCCCGAAAAAAAAGAAGGGATATCAGTGCGACAGTACCAACGTCGAAACGTAGCCCATGTGTATTTTGGTTACATGTAGGAATAGTGCGTCCTTAAAAATTCATTTGAAGAGTAAATGCGACATTGCATTTGATTTACCGTTAGTTACCGAGTTATCCATCTCAAACTTACAAGAGTCATCAAAAAATCTTGTACTCAGTTCCATGAATAGACAATTTCCGGGAAAAAAGGGGTGTCGCGAAAAAATTGGTGATCTACTGTTATTTAGGATTCTTTTAGTTCTAAATCAATTTGGAATCAAGGGCGTAAAAGTTGCGATAGAGCCATTATGATAGCCTTCCAACCTTTTTAAGGAGGTTGGATCCTGCCATCAAAAGTAATGAGAATTTTTTATCAAGTATATTTTTAGAATTTATACACATAGCTTTATTAAAAATCAAAACAAAAAATGGGGGTCAATGCGCTTCTTTTGGCGCTACAGAGCATTTAGTTTGACCTTTTTGCACTGTAAATACGTCTTACACATAAATCAATTTTTAAAGTTTTTCCTTCAATATTTTTTGTTCAAATAAATTATGGTGAACAAACACAGTCTTATTTCATCTTAAATAGACACATTAAAATTTGTAACAACGAAGAAATTTTTGAATTACTCCGCATGTTCAATTATTTGACCTTTTTGCACTCAAACATTTTCATTTTTCTGGTATTAAAAATTTAACAAGCAAAAAAAAATCATTTGAAAGTAATGACATTTTACTGAATTTAAGAAGAATGATTAAAAGTATCGTATATATTCAGAAAAGAAAATTAAAAGTGGGGGTCTGTGATGTTAATTTTTAGATATTACTAAAATAGTGCTAATTTTAAGCTTAAATTAGGGCTATTTTTTTTCTTCATTTCCACAATATATTTGCTATATTTATCAAATATGATGATAGAATTCATGACAGTTTTTTTAATAGATAATTTAGGACCAGTATAAAACAGTCCACTGCACAAAAGAACTATGTGTGCAGACTACATGTAAAGATAGGAATCCAAACTTAACATACTTTTAATTCTTCGAAAGAGAAAAAATGATCATTTTCTTCTAAAAAACCTTCCGCCACAAAATATAGTTCCTCACTTAATGCTTTTGGTATGGAATTTAATCATGGAGTTTTAACTGAATATATTTAAATTGGCATTGTAGAATCCAAATTTATTGTAAGAATTAAAACATTATGCAGAATTTTTAAATATAGGTTAAGATAAGAATCTGCTCAAAAGCTCAGGAGCGAACCTCGTTAAAAAAAATTCACGAAATTATTTTTCTACTGTCAGCATCAAGACCTCCCCTCTTCCTCATGTAGATCACCAAATTTTTCGCGACACCCCCTTTTTTTAAGCGATAAAGTTATTTGTTACTTATAATTATAAGCAGGACAAAATTTTCACTATTTGTCCATTGATTCATACAATCTTTTTAAATAAAAAATAGAATCAAATTTTTGAAAGCAGGCAGCCTTGCGTAATTATACGCGAAAACAAAGTTCTCTCGAGTAAAAAGTGATTTACAGCACATTGATCTTCTGACCTCCAGCTCCGGACTTTCAGTTTATCGTCATTTTTTGCTACCTTTTCCACCGGATAACCAGTCCAGTCATCCTTCGTTGAGCCTTTTTGCTAGGTATAAACCAGTGTCCGAGACATGTGTTTGTGTCGTTCCATCGTTACCAGCTCTTTTCCGTATAGACAGCGAGTCATACCTCGCTCAAAACAGTACTGAATGATAATTTGGTGCGCCGCATTATATCTAAAGGAAAGTTTTTGTGTACATATATTTGTCATTATGAAGTCAAATTAAGGAATTTTCTTCCATAAGTCCTCAAGATCATAGGTTTTAAGAATATATTTCTTTTCACATTATATTGATTTTCCCATAAAGCTTGGTAATAACGAAAATATTGCTGACAGTTCTATTTTATTTTCAAAAGTAAAACAATTGCTATAATGATATTTAAAACCCTTAAAATGCTGTTTTCATATGCAAATGGCACTACAAACTTATAATATTTTGTCAAAATGACGAAAATATCATGTCCCAGCAATATGCAAAAAATTTATAATTTTGGTCAGTTTATGAAATATTAAAAAAGTGTTTTTTTGGGACAACCCCTGTTACATGTATGTCATAAAAACAATTTTATTCCAGTAGTATTTCTCTTCTTCTAAAGATTGTTGGGATACTCCCACTTTCTTATTTATTAATTTTTTATTTATTTATTTAGCTTTCTCTTTCATCCAAGTAAAGCAATATCAATAATTTCCATGTTCAGAGTAACTTACAAATATATCATAAAAAGATATACTATCTAAAATTGAAATTGGTATTGTACCCTAAATGTATGGAAATTACTCTGGATATTACACTTGTGAACATGCTCAAAATAATTAAAATATTTGAAGAATAAATGCACTTTTCATAACGAGATGGAGTTTGAGCGATTTCTGCCACACTCATAGCAAAACCAGTGTTAAGCTAAATCCGTACCATTTACCCAATTTACAAAATTTCTGTAGCTTTGACGAGAACAGGGGCATTTTGAAACCTGACGGAATGCCCCCCCCCCCCCTCCCGGCGGAGAGATTATGTAGCATTCTGTAACGACCTCTGGCGGAGAGATTTTGAAGCATTGGGTAACGCCCTCTGCAGGTGAAAGATTGATAGATGTCAGACGGACAATACACAGACGGATGAGGGACAATTTATTTTAAAAAAAATCATTCAGGTGAGCTAATAGCTCACACGTGCCAGCAATGTGTATAACATTTTAAAATTAATGCCATCATCTTTGTTTCACATCACGTTTGAATACAAGCGTATTTGCAAGACATGTTTCAAGTATTTACATTCTCAACACTGTAATTATTTTATTGCTCGTCATATCGTGAAACATTTGATCATTACCAACTTACACTTTAGTGAAGAAATTAATGTGCATGTGTGTTATAAATGATATATGCTAAATGTTATTCAAAATAAGGATATGGACGGTTCAAAAAAGTTTGGATTCTGTTATTGAATTAGGTGAATAAACGCTAGTTTCAATCTCATTTAAGGGAAAAAATTCGATCCAGTCCTGTACATGTATCTAATGCTAATTCTAATCTAAGTAAGAATCTTTTGAGTCTGTTTCAATAAGAATACCTGCATTTTGCGAAAAAAATTCTCCATTGATAAACAAATACTTTGTTTTTTTTTTTTTTTTTTTTTTTTTTTTTTTGACTTTTTAATTTCAGTTGTAAGAATATGGGGCATGAGATGTTTGACATTGTTCTAGATCACACATTGATTTACAATTCCACAAGTGAGGTCAGAGTTAAATAAGTTGTAAATTTAATGTATTGAGAACTTAACATGTGGGAAGTTATAAATCGTTGGTTGAAGACGAAAGGACCAAAGGAATACAGAAACAGCTCCCTTCAACATCAAGTAAGCTGATATAGGTATGTAATACATATTTACTTAGTACTTACCTATATCTATACCATGTACATCATGATGATTTTTTTTTTTAATTAAAAGATATTTGTTTATGTGCATATTCATAAGTAGTGATTTCGGTGTTTACTTAAATTTGTTTCTGCATAAAAATGAACCTTGAAAAAAGTAATTCAGGTCAAATTAAATAGTTACCTTACAGGAATATAAATCAATTGACTACAAAACCACTGATCTTCAGACGATAATCATAGACAGACTGCATTATGTATTTATCAGGTGTTCTTTTCGCACAACTTAGTTGATGTTTTAATTCCCATTATTCCGTGCAAGACATCATACATGTAGATGTAGGAAACAAAAATATTCAGAATGGATTAAGAGCAAAATTTAACACAAGCGTACATATAGACGATGATGTATCATTTACTAGTATATTAACACTGGTTCAAATTTTATGAGTTTTAATGTAATTTTTTTTTTATATTTTAAAGCTACTGAAAGCCCCCCCCCCCCCCCCCGAAAACCAAATATCCTGCATGACAGACAAGAAATAAATAAATAAAATCAGAGATCAACATTTATACATATAAACTGGATAATGTGAAATGAGATTATATGCATAGAAAAGGAGTATTCTACTTAAGTATAGTAGTGTGGTCCCTTTTTACACCCTTGGTTTACCGGTTAAATATTAGCATACGGTATTTTGTTTGTTTTCATTGTGTATAACGAAGTATTTCTAATTAAAACATTGTGTATTTATAATGAATAATTGAACATATCAAAAAATACAAGCCTATTTTTAACACCTACCACACTAAAAAATGCCGGAACATTTTCCCCCGATCAGACTACTGTTTCTCTATTACATGGAAATGGGCGGAGACATTTAGATTAGATACTATAAAAAGAAGATCTAGATATGATATTTTTCTTTCAAAAACGTATTATATGTCCAAGATTCACAATCAATTACAAATATGATTTTCTATTTACAAAAATTTGTCAATAAAAGCTATAACAAGATGAACCAAACAAGTCCATGCTGATCGATATAAAACTGAGTACGTTTTAAATGAGAACTAGCCCGTTTACTGGGGGCATTTACCCGTAACGATACAAATCCACGTGGCTTGTTCCGATTCTAAACAGGTCATAAAGAGGTTAATCGCATGTAAATGAAGTCGGCGAAGAGATTCAAAATCACAATACTTTTAATTAGAAAACATAGAGCACAAGGTTGTTCAACAAAGATATTTTCACTCAACCTTTACAAATATAATATATACATTATATTTCAAACTCGACTCTGAACAAACCTGTGCTCGGTGTTTACAAAAGCTTTGAAGTGTGTACCTGTCACTGATTTCTTTTCATATTCATGAAAATCAAAGAACCCTACCTTCAACGCGCAGCTTTGTATGCTGCCTATAACCATTGTTTGACATTTTTAGATGATGATTCAAATAATAAAGACATTAGTTAATAATAAAAATCAATTTTAAAAAATTTGATAAATGTTCGAAATTTGACGAGTAACCGGGGACCAGAGATAAACCTTATTGAGACTTGTTCTTTGCCATGATTTAAGTCGCTGGCACTTAGCCTGCCAGAAGTCACTGAAATGTTCCTTAATTCAGAGTTGCATCGCTAGAAATATGTGTTAAGATATTTCTTATATTCAGGATGAAGTCGTTGGTGTTGTTGGCCTTATTCGCCCTGACGGCTGTTTATTCGGCCTCCGTGTTGTCCAGGATTCCCGCCAAAGCCACCAGTGAGTTGTTGATCTGCGCTTTCAACATCAAAACCTTTGGAAAAGCCAAAATGGCTGACGCAGAGCTGGCAGAATACATTAAACAGGTCAGCCTTACTATCCTTCGAGGAGCCTTCTAACTTAGAAATACAGTACATCATGTTGACAATTTTGAATTCACCGGTTGATGGCAGTAAATGCAAAATTTACAACATACAACATGACAACTTGTAAATTTTGTATTTAATGCCATCCGCTGAATTAAATTTTTTCAACAAGACAAATACTTAAAGCTTTCAGGTTCATGTTAACAATGCATACTGCATGTACGAACTATCGACGGTGCTTTTTAATTTCTTGTTCTCCCTCACTGTCCTACACGTGCAATTTTTTATCCTTAACACAACAGCTACACTGTAAATGTGAAATTTCAAGCAGATTTAAAACGGGATATAATCGTATTTGAACATAATTTTAGTATGTAATTTTGTTTTTAATCTATTCCTTTGCCCCCCCCCCCCCCAAGCACCAATAGCTTTCCCGCGGCTTCTGGATCCCTTGTCACAGCTTTTAATCGGGGTTTCTATCGAAAAAATCCGGAAATTGAAATGGTAAAAATGCCGTATTGGAGACTGCCAACAAGGTACATCATTTGTCTGGATAACTCCTGCAGTTTCCAAGATAGGAAGTTAATTTATTTTGCTATCAAGTGTACATATATCAGGGATATGTACATGGTACATGGATTTTGATTTTTGATAATTTTAGATGAGAAAAATACCAGTTGTTAAACAGTCATTTTTTAGGTAAAATACTCCATATAGGCGGTACATCGTTTGTCCGGATAACTCCTCCTAAAGTTTGCAAGATAGGGCCATCATTAAAAATATCTTTGGTTCCCCTAACCCGACCCTTAAATTTCAAGTTGGGTAGGTAGGTAGGTAAATTATTTTTTTTTTCTGACAGCAGTTTTGGAAATACATTCTGAAAAATTAAATGGTATCTTTATAAATAAGAAAGAACAAAAGAAACCAATTTTTTAACCGAATATCATACAAATGAAATTTAAAAGCAACATGTGTGGTAAATTAATTCACAAATATTATTCATTTGAACTTGTGAAATATCTCAGGTCAGCATAAATTTATTAAAATTGAATTTTTACAAAAAGACAAGATTCGCAAATACTCAACCATCTGCCATCCGAGTATATTTTTTCAAACCTACTATCATCTTCGAGTGCTTACACAGACAAAATGTCAAGGGTCTGGCGCAGTAATTGTAGTGTTTCGTTTTGGAGTCAAGACATAAATCAGGAGCTTTTTTTCTAAGTCACATGTCCCGCCGAGGGACGTGGAGACTGGTCAGTGGAATGAAACCGTAAAAAACGTAGTTCCATGCAGTGTTGCAGTATACATGTAGATGTTGGCACGGAAAAGATCCCTTATTGATGCTTCATGATCAATGGCCATAAGTGCCGAGAAAAAGTCTAAATTAGGAGCCCTCCAACAGGCAGGTGTTCAAATGTTGTCGATCCAACAATTTTTAAAGGTATTTTAAAGCAAAGAAACAACCTATTTTCAAGGGCCTAACTAAAGTAAAATACACTGGACGTCTCAGGAAGCCGTACCATAAGCCAATTTTAAAGATTTCAACACTATTTGAGAAGAGTGTACATGTACCTGTATATAAACAATATTTAATTCAACCAAATCATATCTAAAATGATTAAAGTTTCATATATCTAATGTTATAGTCACGAAGTTTACCCCATAAATAAAAGAAATGAAGAAACGACATCTGAATTATATTCATCAAGATAAAATAATTATACAAAAACATATTTACAACTCCTATGGTCCTATATTGTAAAAATAGAATCATACATGAAGTGATAATTAGATCGAAACGAATGAAATGCAGTGAAATTTATTGATATGCATCAGTGCAAACACAAAGTGGGCCCCTCATTTGCTCATGAGACAGGCTTTTCCATGCTTATTACGTACGTTAATTTTAGAAGACACATTTGCAAATACCATCTTAACACTCCTTAGTCATGGTATATTTAATTCACAAAATGTTTCAAGAGTTTAGGATTCTAATAAGTTAAAGACATATATTAAGACTGATACATCGCCGTTGTTTTATAACACGAACTAACCCTGTGTGGCCACATGTTGTGGGCGCCAAATGAGAGTAAAACAAAAGCCACCGTTCTGATAAAAACGGATTTTGATGAAATTGTATTTTATAAAGTTGATAAACAATAAAAAAAAAATATTCGAAAAATTTTATTAAAAAAAACTTTTCAGTCGGCACGATTTAAGTGGGTCGGTCGCGTTAGGGGAAACAAAGGTACTTTTTATTTTGTCCTAGGAGGTTTTTATTTTGCAGATCAGCTGTGCATATATAAGAGATGTACATGATTGTGTTCTCTTGGATTTTAATTTTTGATAATTTATGTAGAAAATACCTTTTTTTTTTTTTTTATCTAGGTTCGGTCATTTTTATGATTTGGAGAGATGAGCCTCAAATCGAAGAAAATGTATCCGTTTTATGTTGATTAAACGCGTATTGACGACTGACAAACACATCAACATTTAGGGAAATCATCACTGTAGGGGACAGAACTATGGCAACAAAATAAATTAATGCTTTAGAGTCCAGAAATAGGCGCTGAATTGGGTTGGGGTATTTTTTCCAAGACAAGAGCTTTTGTCCCTTGTAGAGTTTATGTATAGGTGTGGTACGTTTTTTCAAACATGTTATTTCTTGTCTGAAAGTGTCAGAATCTTTATTGTAACAAATTTTTAAGTGTATTTAAAGTAGATTCATTTTTTTTACAAAAATTATTTTACATTTAACAATCCGGAAGACAAGCCCCTATGATTGTGAACTGTAAAGTTCTGTAACAAGAATAATAGAGATAAATGCATTATATCATGACAATTATATAACTAATGTAAACAAAAACAAGCAGGCCTTGAAATATTGAATTTTGTATTTTTTTTATTTTTTTTTTTTTTTACTCTGCAAGTAAATCATTTTTCCCCTTCTCTCGGCTATTGATAACAAAAGTCATACATATTTATTTATAAATTTTGATTTAAAATTATCAAAAAAATTAAAGCAAATGACACCCAGGCAGACAATACATGTACGTGACCTGTGTAAAAAACATCACAGACTATTAATAATTATTCTGCTAGAGAAAAAGACCTTAATAAGAAACCTTGAATGATTTAGTGTTATGAATCTGCTCTACATTAGGTTTATTTCCTATCAGTTCTTACTTTGAATACACTTCCAATTGAATATTTCCGCAAGTCTCTCCCCTTTCTAACGATTATCAAAGTATAGAAGGTTAATTACAGTGCGTTTAAAATCCTTTAAACATAAGATAATACGAAAAGTGTTAGTCTCAATCTACTCCTTAACTTTAGTAGTAATCAAATGCCTTGAGGTTTGGTGAACGTTACAATTGATTGGTCCAATAATTAACCAATTTACACCCCATTCTAAAAGATCCGTACAGGCATCAGGCTTATAATAGGGTCTATTAAGTGGAAACCAATGATTAGTAGCGTACAACATTGTAAACAAATAATACAATACTCAGATTGTGTGTAACCAAGGGCTTAACGATTATAAAATGATTAAGAATCATATACGAAGAAGTTATGATTTTTTTCTCACATTCATACATGTATATTTGGAGCAATTTGAGAATAAAAGAGCTCGTTCAATCTGCAAATGTACCTTTGTGTGAAAAAAACTCAAGTAGGATTAGATGATGTCTTTATTCTTAATAACATTAAAATGAAAATTTTAAGACATGATTTTTATTTACATTGTAAAGCGGGGCGCTCAACATTTTAGTAGAAATTGTGACGGGAAGTATTATATCGTCGGTTGTTTAGTGGTTCTATTCTGGGCGTCAACGTTTTATATACGTTGCGCATTTCCATGGTTTATCCCATGATTGCAAGTAAACAGAAATATTTATTTAGCAAATCTATTGTTCAAGAATACTCATTAATTCCATTATAAATCATTGGTTGTGATTTGATGTGTATAAATTCAATCATTTTTGAAATTTTTGGCGATAATAATAAAGCACAGACCTAAAACACTAATACTTTTGAATTATATTTTCATATAATTGGTATTTTTTGAGATATGGCATATTAGTTATCTTAAACTGTACCCCCCCCCCCGCAAATCACATTTATGCACACTCGCACACACAAACACACACACATACACGCAGAGAGAGAGGGAGAGAATGTGTGTGAGAGAGAGAGAGGAGAGGGGAGGGGATGTGATAGAGGGGAGGGGATGTGAGATGTGAGAGAGAGGAGAGGAAGTGTGAGAGAGGGGAGGGGATTTGAGAGAGGGGAGGGAGTGTGAGAGAGAGAGGGGAGAAAGTGTGTGTGAGAGGGGAGGATGTGTGTGAGGAGGGGGTGAGAGATAGGAAAGGGTGAGAGAGAGAAAGAAAGATTGAAAGAGGACAGCGTATATTAAAGGGAGAGAGAAGAGAGAGAGAGAGAGACTATTAATAATACATATATATGAAAATGAGAAAAAAGGAAGACATGAATTGATTCATTTCATTTCAAAGTACTAGTATTCCTCGAAACAAGATGCCCATGGGCTACAACGCTCACTTTAGTTATTATTCTCTTATTATAAAAAATAATTTTACTCCGGTAGAAAAATATAACCCTTTAACATGGTCTCCAAAATCTCTATTATTTCATTAATTTTAATTTTTAGTATACTTAAAATTGCAGCTATGTATCTTGTGAATTTCAATGTATTCTTTATAAAGAATTGCCTCCTATAGTGGTTCATTACTTGCTCAAAAACAAATATGCATCTACATGGCATGTAGATGCTCAAGAATATGACTAAGTATGACCTTGCAGTTCTTTAGAAGATATTTTAGCTAGATTTACATGTATGATTTCGTGTTTTCCGCATGTTTAATGTTGACACTTATTGTGGCTAATTAAGAAGTAAGGGGGCATACCTCTAAACTTATTTTTACTTAATTAACACCTATGCTCTTTTAAATATGATTAATTGCGGTCTTACTGCTATTGAGATAAGGCTTTTCCGTCGTATGACGTTTTTAACCTTTGATCTATTTTAACCTTTTGCGGCCTCAACCTAGCTCATTTGTCACAATTAATTCAAAGTTGGATGTATACTTCAGTCAAGCAAATTCAGAGAATTGTGCTCCCTACATTCGGGGTCCTTTTAGCTTGTCTTTCCATCATAATCGAAAAAATTTAAATCTTTGAATTTATAAAAGGTACAGGACAGAAGGTTCCGATAAAAGGCAAAATTTTGTTTGTAGAAACAGTTTTAACCTCGACCAAATTTTGCTAATGATTATAATTATTGTGGCCGGAGATTTGCACCCCTGCAAACCATAGTTATGAGATGAAGTTGTTTGTACCTATTAACAAATCAAAATTAACTTCGCGATAACCGAATTTAAAAAAAAAGTCTACATGTAGCCCTTTTATCAACGGGTATTCAGCTGCAAAATGATAATCAAATTAATTATCGCATGTTTAGGTACACGCTATCATTCAAACTATTTGCTATAGGACTAGTAATAATATTTATATATGTAAGCACAAAAATTTACGAATGGCCGCCTCTTTTCAGTGATGATCAAATAAGATTATTTACTTCTTTATCAAAATATGAGAATTATAACTACGTTAAAATTTATGGAAAGTAGGTCAAACTTCAAGGCAAGAACAAATCATTTATCACCAACTTTTACAAACTTTTTTTTACACTTGAGTTGCCTTTCTTTAAAACACATCGCACAGATCATTTAACGAGGATTGAATTTTTAAATGATTGCATTAATTCTAAGTGTAGAATAAACTCAAAATGCCCATAAACATACGAATATCTATCGATTTTGTTTGGTACCATGATTAAATTTGAAAAATATTTGAAAGTCCTTCTAATTGTGAACTAGCTGTTTTTTAAGTTGCAACACGTCTACATCTATATTTACTACCTCTATCGCTAAAAAATACCATCGTGGGCATTTAAATAATAAACAAAATGCTTTCTTTGTTACTACAGGGATTATAACGGTTGCAACACTGCACAAAACACAACCATCCTAGGTTTTGTTTACAAGAATCAAGCAGCTTTTTATATGTATGTAACACACTCACATAAAAAAGCGTTAATAAAAAGGCAACAGTACCATCAAAAGTTTTATGACCTTTAATCATTTGTAAATATATATAAAATCTCTAATTCTCATGCCAATTTTCAACTGGACCTATGCTCGAGAGATGGGTTTCTCCATGTGAGTGCCTTAAATTTGAATCAAGCCTCTTTCCAGATTTACTAGTATTTGATTTGATCTAAGAAGGAAAGGAAAGAGAGAAGGCGTCTGTGCACAAAGCCGAAAGAAGAATTTAGGGAGTAAAAATTAAGATAGAAATACACATATCTATTCGTGTATCTTACAGTAGTACAGGTAGTTTTTGCGGGTCCATTTTACTTTCATCTTGCTTCCTGTCTCTCTACAAGTATAAAAAAATTTGACCATTACTCTTGAACAAGACATTGACATATAATGACATATAAAATGGCTATAAAAAGGGTTATGGCTCATAAAAATTACATCAGCACGTGTGTCAGGACTCATATAATATATAAAGCGGTAAAATGAGCTTACAGGACAATGGAATCTAATCACTTTTAGAAACTTACATATGATCGTTTTCTCTATGTTGTTGATGATGTCCTTTTGAAGGGGATGAATAATCTTCGCTAAAGGTCATATTTCAAAAGCCAAGGTTATAATAGTAAGAATTAGTCTAAGAATTATGTCAACGTCATGTTTTTAAAAAAGATGTCTGGAATAGAATCAAACTTTAGCATGTCAATGATTTAATATAAGACACAACTTAAGTAACATCACATTTCTTAAGGTAACTTACACCTGTTTTATTTACAATTCTAGATTGTTCTGCGCTATGACCTCATACTGATTCAAGAGATTCGTGACGTCAGCGGAGAGTCAATTCAACAGCTGTGGCAGATGGTCAATGCGTTAGTTGCTACATTCAGAAATTCTCAATTTACTGTATCGAATATAGAAAATGTAAAATATTCAGCTTTTGTAATATATCTTTTCGCTGAACAAGAAAATTGTTGCATTCAACAAATTTGAATCGCTGTTTCTGAAACTTCTTTCACTGATTCTTCAATTAAATTCTTCATTCAGAAATGAGACAATCATTTAACATTTATTCAGTATTTTTCATCCTGTGTCCTCAGCTCTAGGCCCTATGGAATGACCATCAGTGAACGACTAGGACGGTCTTCTTATAAAGAGCAATATGCCTATTTCTACAGGTACAATGTATATGTGCATACACATTTTAAAAAGTTGACAGTCAATACTCATTATATAACGCTCATACATATAATTTAAAAACTCATTACAACTGTAGGTCCATTTCCTTGTTATACTACATTTGTATGATATTGGTTTCATGAATTTCTTTAGTGAATGGCTAACTATTGCTTTTACAGACTGTCTAGCCTTCAGTTAGTGGGAACCTACCAGTACGATGATGGACCAGATGACTACACGGACATTTTTGAGAGGGAACCGTATAGTGCTCTCTTTCTACCTGTCGGAAGATCAGCAGGTAATTTTATTGACCTACAGTGTTACCATGGTCATACAAACTCTTCTACTTCAAACAAACCCCTTTTCTCAGAAATCGAAATTACATGTAGCTACATGTGAACAATTTTATTCCTTTTAAGATCAAAGACCAGTTTATTCTTCGTATTATATTTTTTTTTTATGTAAATAAAATCAATGTCATATTTATGCAGATGATGTGCAATTTCTTTTGACCAAGGTCATTTGAAAAAAAATAAGGTAACAAGGATTGGAAGATTAACATTCTTCTCTGATGCTTTGTAACGGAAAAACCCTCTGAAACCTTAACTTGGTTGGATGTAGCTTAAACAACAATTATGTAAATAATTTCATTTATGTGTTGAATGCTGTTTAGTTCTCTATTGTTTAAATGTAAGTAAGTAAATATTGTATTTTGTATTGTTTTAAATCTCAATATCTTGATTTTTCTTCATCGGCTTGAATTCTCCCATGCCTTGCAGGTGTCAGGTGCACGTTATGCAATTTTCCCCATTTCTTCAGTTTCGGCTCCTTGTTACACAACTCCAAAATTTTCCATGGTCAAACCTTACCCCTATGTAAGCTAATAGCCAATCAGAAATGACCATCATGGTCACGTGTTTTGATGCTGTCGGTAGCTGACCAGTCAGCGTTGGGTCATTCTCGCCTCATCTATGCTACTGATAACAACAAAATATTTGGCACAGTAAGAAGAAAGATTCCTGCTTTTATCCTGAGTAGAAGGTGTGTTGCAACGCATTTTTGTTGTTTTTAGTGAATGCGATTGTCTATCATTTTGAGCTGGTTCCGGTTGGGGTACAGTGTGTTTTGTAAACATGACCGCAATGAACGTTTTTGTTATCGGACACTCTTACATCAGAAGACTAAAAGAATATTGTGTTCAAAAGGGGACAGAAAATTTGGGTTTGGATCCAAAAGAATATCATGTCACTTTCAGAGGGAAAGGAGGACTGAAATTGAGTAAATGTGATTCCCGCTGTACCAGTGAAAACTGTCGCTAGTGCTCAGAGTCGCTCTAAAAATAGAAATCCCAAGCGGTAGCCTTGCAATTCGCCACTCGTATAATTATACCCAAAGATAGTTATAACCACGTAATATAGATGTTATTGGTGTTTAAAATGAAACATTTTGAAGCAAAAAAAGTTATAACACTCTGGAACAATTCTGTTTATTCAATATTTACTTCAAAAATCCTGAAAATAAGTGTATGGTCATTTCTTAATTGACATCGCGATCGGCATGTGGGCTTCGTTTATCTTCATCTCTTACGTGAGAAGTTGGACAATTTGACTAATTAAATTAAATATTTAGACAGTTTATAACCTCTTATTGAAAAAAGGCAACAACAGAATCATACGAGGAATTATATTTTGAATCGTCGAGATCGGCATCCAACTTTTATTAGGCAATAGGCAACCGCATAAGAATCGGCATGTATTATGATTTGTAAAGTCGATTTATTGTAAGTAAGACAGTGTTTTAAAAGATAAAATAAGAATAATTATCTTATTTTATTAGCGATAAGTTCATTGTAAGCACGAATAAATTTAAATCTTGATCACACAAGTCTAATGCTAATTCGAAACAAAGTTGTGACGCGAATTTCCTCTATTGTGTTTATAACACTAAAAAGCACTGACTTTTTTCATATAATTTAGGACTACTGGTGATTTTTTCCAAATAAGTGCTTAAGTGTTTATTAAATTAAAATTCTCTGCAATTAATTATGAATTTAAAGCAGTTTTTCATCATATTTTGTGGTTATAGAAGGATTCCCTTCGACTAATTTTCATTAATATATCCCAACTCAGTATCTACATGTATGATAACTGATGATGAATCATTAGATGACCACTTTGTACAAGTATAATAATAACTATCCATCAAAGTTATGTATGTAAGTTGATAATATGTGTTTTGACTGAATTCATTTTACATTTCTAAGTATGGTCATCATGTCTATAGATATCTGGCTTTGTTCAGTTATGATGTAGGCATTGGAGACATTCATTAAACTAAATAAGTAGATACAATGTCAGTGAATTATTGTTAGGGTGGGGATGGGGAGTTTAACCTTCTTTACAGTCAATTATTAAACTTCAGTCTGAAGTTTATGAACCTCAGGGTCCACACTGAATATATAAGCTAAGGAAATATATAACCAGATAATATGTTGTAAAATCAGCTTGCACGTGCACTACAATGCTGGACAAGTCACCCCTAAGACAGCTCTCCTGTAGAACAATTCACATTGACAATCACCTTTGATTCAAAGAACTTGGCCACTGTTTGGACAATTTACCACCTTCTCAGACAACTCGAGCGCTTTGTAGCTATTTTATGCTACACTTAAAGCAAAATAGATTACATCATTTTATTGTGATTCATGGATGACCTCCTTTTCATTCTGAAGTTATATGTCAAGACTACATACTATGAATAATGGATTTGATGAACATTTGATATCCAGACCAATATTGTTTATTTAAAACAGCTTAATTTAACAAAGCGACATTTTGATTGTAAAATTTCTGTTAGAAACATGGTGCTTAAGATGATAATTTATTACAACCAATGTCTTAAAAGTAGAAATCAAAAGCAGGGAAAAAAAGTAAAAGAAAGGGCACAAAAAGAATACAGATACAATAAATAAATTTTCCCTGAAAATGTAAAATGTTAATAATTAAATGGTTCGATGCAGTCTCTTCTCCCATAAATTGTTAAATCTGATGCACTTAATCAAACTGATGATGGGAGTCATTATCCAGTAGTTTAACTGTAGTGTTATTCCTAATTTAATAATTAAATTACTTTTTTTTCACAACATTTGTTTGTATTCTTAGTACCTGTATTTAAGATTACAGGGGTATATTGATTAAAATGAGTTTATCTTTATGAGGTAGTAACATTTTTGAAAATTCTCTCCTCATATCAATCCCTACTTTAGATGAATGCAAGAGTATTTTATATCAGATCGATATTTAAAGATAGAGAATTTTGTCCAATTAGGAATTGAACATCTTGATTAATTAAAGCTTCTTATGTCTTATTTGTCTCAGTTCACCCAGCTGAAAATGAGTACCAGTATACTGAAAGTTGGAAGTAATAGACCTCTGATGATCTATGTCCCTTCCATAGGGATTCTCTAACTCTATGATCTTCATCTGCTTAGCACAAAAGAAACTGGTTATGAATCACCAGCCCTATGTCAGCCCCTTACCTTGAAAAAATTTAAACTGTTGAAAACATCCAAAAGAATATTTTTATTTTAATTCAATAGTAGAAATATTTGTGGAGGTCAGGTGGGTTTGATAGCTCAGTTGGTAAAACTTCTGACTGGAGATTCAGGGGGCCCGGGTTTGAATCCCTGTCTGGTCTGTCAGATTTTTCTCCTTTCCTGTTACATATTTAAGAAAAAAATATATCAAGAAATAGCAGAGCAACAGTTAGTCATACTGATTTGCAAACATCATCAGGTACCACTACCAGTAGTATGGATTCAACTCTGTTCAGATCATGCCCAGGATGGTAGGTGCATATGAAAGATCTCATAGAGGAATATACAGGAAAATTCAGGATTTTTTTTTTTTTGAATATTCTTATCATATTGGGTGCCAAATGTAACAGGTGGTGAAAAATCAAGTTTCAAGAGGGACTCAAACCAGGGTCTTTGGCATACATGTACCGTGGCTCTAACCACTGAGCAAGTGAGACCCCATATATTGACCAACTTTCACACATCTTTTAAACCGAGACATTATTAACATCAGGACTATAAGTGATATTAAATAATATGCAAGCATCCTCAAGTAGGGCAGTTTGAATATATCTCCAGGGTAGAGTTGGAGTGGCAATATTCTTGAAGAATAAAAGCTTTATTCAGGAATATGTCAGAAAAATCTTCTCTCAAACTGAAAAGCAGGGCCATGATAAGTGGTAACAATATGAGAGCATTCTCAGACAATGCAGATTCAATTCTTTTCAAATTATGGCCCATGGGGATTGTAGGGCTACAATAAGGGATCGTTCATCTAATGTGAAGATAGGATATAAAGTAATGAGGTAAAGGATAATTTTAGATCTCTTTTATATGGACAAGTATTTGCTAGGAAGATAACCTATAACCTTAACCTTCCTAGCAAGTGTTTGTTAGGAAGATAACCTTACATCTTGTTTGCAAGTATCCTTATATAATGCAGATTAAAGTTTGCTCAAATCATGACCCCCAGGGATAGACTGGGAGCCCAATAAAGGATCAAAGTTTATATCAGCACTGGTGTATTTTGGAAAGTAGGTCAAAGTTCAAAGGTCTCGAGATCAGTAAACCAGGTATTCTACAAAAGCCATTCTCCCAAGTAATATGTAAGCCTAATATCAAGTCAGCCAGTAACACTTCTCAAGTTCTCTCAGTTCTGAGGCTTATGTATTATTATGGCGTAGGCATCCCAGGTTAAAGTTTTTGGAGCAGATTTCTTTTCAAGTACCTCTATGCCGTATATTGATCAGAGATGCAGGGAAGATGCTTGTAGTATATTTCATTGTACCAGTCAAGTTTCAGATGCTGCAATTTCAGCTGAAGAATGACAAGGTTAATGTTTTTGGAGCAGGCTTAAGTTTTTAAAGCAGGTCTCATTTCCAAGTAACACTAATTTTAAGACCTATATTGACAAAACTTGCATGGATGATACATTTATTGATGCACACTACCAGATGAGCGACTAGGTTAAAGTTTTTGGAGCAGTTTCTTTCTAAAGTGACTTTAAGCCCTATGCTAACCAACTTTGCACTGAAGATACATTTATTGATGCACACTACCAGAGTTGCTTCAGATGCTGAATTTGACCTACATTTTCCAGATGAGTAATTAGGTTAAAGTTTATTTAGCAGGTCCATTACCAAGAAACTATAAGGCCTATCTGAACCTAACTTGCATGGATGATGCATCAAGGGATGAACACCCTCAAACTTCTAGATGACCATTCCCCAGATCTTGTTTTCAAAATGAATTTGGTATGAAATTATTAAAATCAATTTGCTATTGTATGAAATATTTTAATTAATTTTTTTTTTCGTATTTCGATCAACAACCACAGTGTAGAATGTCTGTCTTACTAAGATAAAAGATGGTTGCAATTTTAAAGTTTTCACTCTAAAATACATGCTAATAAATATTTAGATGTTTTAATAGGCTAGGTGGAGCAGAGTTCAGCATTCATAAAACATAAAATGCAATTTAAGAAGATGAGCGAGCAAAATGACGATGGTGTGACAAATACGAAGGTGAAAAATTAAATCTCAATTATAACAAAATTCTCCTTGATATTTCATCAAACATTAACATATACTATATGTAAAATCTCCAAAATTTACAGAAAATCTCACAAAGATTGTAATTATTTGTCTAGAAGTAGCAAACACATACCATAGAGGGCAAAAATGCTGATCATTTCTTCATACTCTAACACAATTTTTTCATATGAGTGGGTCTTCACTCCTTTGTAGCTCACCTGAGCTGAAGGATCAAGTGAGCTTTTCTGATCTAATTAAGAGTGTTTGGTGTTTGTTGTTTAACATCCCTCTTGAGAATTTCTCACTCATATTGAGAAGCCACCACTTGCTGATGGGGGGCTGCAAATTTATACCTATACTAGGCACTCAGGGCCATTGAGCATGGAGGGATCTTTTTCGTGCCAACACCTACTGTGACACAGGACCTCGGTTTATATGGTCTCGTCCGAAGGACTGGTCTCCACATCCCGCAGTGGATTTGAACCCGTGACCCTTATACTGTGACTCTGGAGCAAGCACTCTAACCACTAGGCCATGCGGGCGACCCAGTGTTTGTCGTCTGGTGTCTGTAAACTTTTCACATTTTCGACTTATTCTCCAGAACCACTGGACCAATTTCAACCAAACTTGCCACAAAGCATCCTTGGGTAAAGGATATTCAAGTTTTTTCAGAAG